CAGCCCCAGATGATAGGTGAGGGTGATTGTGGAGCAATTGGTGGAATGAAGATTGGCAGGGGAAACCGAAGTACTCTGAGAAAACCTGCCCCAGCGCCACTTTGTCCACCACAAATGCCACTTCACCAGGCCCGGGATCGAACCCGGGCCGCCGCGGTGGGAAGCCAGCGACTAACCGCTTGAGCTATGGCGCGGCCAGGCGTTGTAGTAAGTCCAGCAGGCAGTGAAAATGCGGAAACAAGAACAAGTTGCTAGGAAAGAGAAACTGACTGTTGTCCTGAAGAAACAACAAAACGAAAACAAACACAAAAAGTAGATCTGGCCGAAACGAGGTGTAATGACACGAAGTGGTTAATGAACTTGACTCCAACTTTCGTCCGAACTGGAAGGCGAAATGTTCAAGTTAACACAGTTGAACACTTGTACAGTCATACACTTACACATCTCATTTTGTTGTTAATTACAGCTTTAAATCCGTACCAAGTAAAGGGGAAAAAAATGTAGGTCTGCAGTCCAAGTATGTGCGAGTGTTTTAAAATCCTGTTTAGTGTTTGTATCTTCATTTAAGGCTGACGACCTCATAAATATATTTTTATTCGTCATGCCCCCACTTAGAGGACTAGGAACTAAGTAAGATGGCGCCATGTCCGTTCTAAGCATTTATCCGCTTACTTGGAGCTGGTGTTTCTGCACAAGCCATATACTGTTGTATATATTGTATTTGGAATGTTGCAATATAAAGTGTAGTAACTGATTTTTCTGTTTCAAACCAATTTTTTTTTTCCACATAAATTGTTGAATAACAGTTTTCTCTATTGCTAGTGGGGTGGGACTAAGTCCCTTGTACTGCGGCCACTGCTGGCCTATTGTACCAGCCCCAGATGATAGGTGAGGGTGATTGTGGAGCAATTGGTGGAATGAAGATTGGCAGGTGAAAGCGACGTACTCGGAGGAAACCTGCCCCAGCGCCACTTTGTCCACCACAAATCCCACTTGACCAGACCCGGGATCGAACCCGGGCCGCCGCAGTGGGAAGCCAGCGACTAACTGCTTGAGCTATGGTGCGGCCTAAATAACAGCTCAATAACGGATATAAAATCATACACTGCTCATCCATTGAATCTTTTAGTGTCATATGTAAAATATTGGAATGAGGACGGAGAGAACTTGTCGTATCATTTCGCGTTCATATTATATACTCTGTGGACGGAATATTTATAATTAAAATTGACGTTACTGTCCCTTCTAGACTTAAGTTAAATCAGGACTTGATATAAATACATAGATATCTCGAAATCGATACATATGCCTACTGCAAACATTCGATATTCGAGATTTATTTTTTCAGCACTCCGATCCTGCTCTGTTGCTGTTCATTTGCAGTGTTACGTTGTTGTCGCCATGTTGACTGTTTGAAAATTTGGGTGTACCAATATTATTTGAATCTTTGTTATACGTAAGTTCAGTAAATATATTTGTGTTTACCATTATGGGCCCTGAAGGTAAGGCAACAATAATGTTGTAGGTGAACAGCGGAAATCGCGTATATTTGAGATGAAACTTGATACTATTGAACGTGCAAATGAAGTTGAATTATTACAAGCCAAGGGCCTTATCTTTAGACTTGAATTGCGCCTCTCTGGTAAAGATATATAGTCCTAATATTATTATTATACAATTTATAACTATTTTAGATCCTTAAGTGATTCATTCCTGGCTTAAATAATACTTTATACGTATTTTTGCAATGTATTGCCATTTGTATCCATTTGTAACACACAAGTATATTGGAAATACGATAATTCGAATTATAATACGAGTTTCAGGAATGCATTGCGGTCTTACGATGAGAATGGCCCGTGTTTCTTACCTGGCCCTTCCCCGTCATATGTGAAATCTCTTATATGCAGTGTTCGGGCGTCCACTGCAAACACTTCGCCGGTCACACTGTGATGAAGTGTCTTGAGCTTGCCTATGTATTTGCCATAGTAACCGGGGGCTTGCGCAGTCGATAACTCTGAAACAGAAGAGAACAAAAAACTGATATAAGTGTGAAAACATCAGCGAGATAGGCAAATATATCAGACCCGTTTCTAGGCAACGGCTCGGTAAACACGTTCCCATTACTAGCTAGTAGATTCTTAATAATGCAAAAGTTGGACTACAACAATGGAAGAACTGTGTTTCCTACTTTTGTCCCTGCCGAGAGGTTATAAGCGATACCAGGTCTGGAGCTTAGTTGTCCCCTGTGTGGAGGTGGGGTCGGATACCTCCACCGTGACTCTGCGAGTCGTAGGAGGCGACGAAGAGGGACGTCTCAAATCCGAGACAGTAGAATATGGTCGCGAGTCCTAAGGGACTCGGACCGGAGAAAGACTGCGCTGGCAGAGTCCAGCAACATATACAAGAGATAGACCCGTCCTCTCGTCAGAGAAGGCGCTCCACAAAAACAAGACCGTAACGGTCAAATAGTAAATATCTGGTCATGAGCCCCAGATGGGGCTCGACACCAAGATTTACTGACTGACTGACTGACCGTCAGTCGCAAAGTAGCTTTGACATTCAGCTTAGTTATGGAATATTAACCAGCGGGAAATGACGTGAGCGAGTGAAGCTGAAAAATCTCCACTATTAGAAGCCGTTGCCAAGGAAAGGCTGTTGAAGACACATAAGGCTGGAAAGGACTTAACGGGTCCTGTGATTATTTATGAATTGTGGAGATTAGCTGTTGCACTGTAAGTACCCATAGTTCCGAGTTATTATGCAGGAGTTTATTAGAGAAACAGCCTACACTTCCGTTCGAAGCGAGACCATTGTATCAAACAATTCTGATATTAAATCAGTCTTCTTCGCTATCTGACATGTGTAGTACACGTTCGAGAAAGTTTTGTGATCCTGTAAAGAAGTCAGTCCCGAGATTTGGATAGAGTTAAAGGTTAAAAATACACTGAACACGGAAAAGTGGTACTGGAATGCCGCTTGTCTGTCTGTATACCTGTATGTATGTGCTGATATGCCTTTCGCTGGCGCCTACGCTCTATTTTCAAGAGTTTGTCCGTCATAGGTCAGTGTCTGGTGAATCCGAGCGTTTAGTTCCAAACACTTGGACCTAGCTGATGGGCTCCATCTGTTTGAATTTCAGTCATTTATAAAGGCATTATGTGTAAATAATACTACGTAGGCGACATCTTTATCAAAATGGCGGCCGGTACACCCTCCAGCGGCTCTTATCAATGGAGTGTAATGGCTTACTTCCAGTCTTTGATTTTGTAAAAACGCCGTAGAACCGATGACATTGTGAAATAAATTGTACACCACATTATATCTTAGGATTTATTTGAGACCATGTTTGTGACAACCAAAATGAATATGTAATAAAAAAGGTAAAGATGTCCCTGCGCTCAACGAATTAAGCATTGCCCCATGAAGGCGTATGGGGGGAGTGAATATATAGATCAACATTTTATTGACCTCGGCAGTAGATGGAGGTGAGTTGTCAGATTCACGTTCTTGCCGCTTTATCCCCAGAGAAAGATCCCCCAGAACCCATTGGATAGGAGGTTAGGTGGACCCCAGAGCCGGTTTGGACGATTTGGAGAAGAGAAAATTCTTGACCTTACCGGGACTCGAACTCCGACCTCTCAGTCGTCCAGCCCGCAACCAGGCGTTATACCGACTGCGCTACCACATACATAATACTAAAGTTTAATATATTTAAGATATTTTATTGTTAAACTAACAGCATTTGTTAATTGAGAGTGTTTAGTTTTGTTTAATTTCTTGAGGTGGGGTGAGACCGAGTCCACTTGGTACGTCGGTCACTGATTGGGCTGTTGTATCGGCCCCGGATGATATATGATGAATGTGAAGTAATCGGTGGAATGAGAATTGGCAGGGGAAACCGAAGTACTCGAAGAAATCCTGCCCCAGTGCCACATGACATGATCTGGGATCGAACCGGGCCACCGCGGTGGGAAGCCAGCAAGTAACCTCTTGAGCTATAAGAGGGCCTAATTGAACGTTAGATTTTGCTTTGTAGTTCCTGAATTGTTATTTTGAGATTGCTAAAATAGTCTTCCCTGTGGAGGTCAGGGCAAATAACCTTTAGTTCATAATAATGATTAACGTTCTGCATGACTACATAAAATAGAAACGGTAAGAATTCCTCCATTCAGGGCAGTTATTAGTCACTGGTAGTTAATTTAAGTTTTTCGAGATGTGAATCCGAGCTGAAACTTTCTACGGGAGCGTTCAGAAGCTCTCGAAAACGCTAAATCAGCCGAAGGCAACAATAGAGTCCACATATGTACGTATCTTGCCACATAGCACCTGCTGCGGAAGAATCGATTTAAATCGGACAGACGATTATGGCAGATCTGGAACGGAGCCAGGTTCTAACTGTAGCCTGCATTCTGACCGCCTGACCTTCATCAAGGTCTTTGTAACCGCTGTACGGAATCGTGCTTTTCCTCGCTCACTCCTCGCAGAGTAATTTGAACGAGTGTATTTATTGAGTGCGGTAAGAAAAGGCTGCCCCTATGCTTGGCCAAGGTAAAGGTATAATTTGCCACGTATTTCGCACGGATATGTAACCTGGTGTCTTGCCGTGAGTATGCGTGCGTGCGTGCGTGCAGGGGTTACTTTACGGTGCTGTCAGTAATCAGATTATATATCGGCAAATTGCATGACGATACATGAATAATGAATTTCGAGGAAAATGCAAGGAAGCTGTCGTGACGTAAGCGGGGCCCTATCTATTCATTTGCCAGGAGGGACTGAGGCAGACCACAGGATAGGCTGTAGTGTTCTAGTCGAGATCCGAACCGACCACTCCCTGAGTACGGGTCTGGAGGTTGACTGCTACGGCAACCCTCTCTTTATCTGGACTTGAAGGACGAAGGCAAATCGCAGGAATTTGAGTACAAAATTCTCTGAAAAATATTTCGACCTAATTTCGGAGAATTTAGGATGTTACGAGTAAAGAGGAATGCCATGATAGTATTTGTCCGATAGTCATGTCGAAATGGTTTAGAAATGTACTCGTAGCTCAGCTGAAGGAAACAAGAAATGCCTGTACAGTTTTAGTGGAGATATCATTTGGAACACGCGAGAATAATATAAAAATGTATCTTCGGGAAATCTGTTTTTGAGGATATATTTCGGACGAACCTGGCTTAGGATCATATCCAGTAGCAGGGTTTGATGTTGGAGCTGCTGAGTTTTAGTGTTTCACTACTGCAGTGTTATTTACGTCGTCATATGTTCTGTGCCGAACATTTCTGCCGCGCGGTCTGAGACATGGAATGTCTTCCCCCGCTCCGATACTGGGGTCGTAGGTTTGAATCCCACTCGAGACACGGATGTCTGCTTTCCTTCTGTGTTTGTGTTGTCCTGTGTGGATAGCGGGCCTTGCGGCAAGGCTGATCTCCCGTCTAAGGAGTCCTACCAACCGCTCGTAAAATCCATAATTCAGATTAATTCTGACGGGAAACAGGCCATAAACCTAATAAGAAAGGTATAATAATAATAATAATAATAATAATAATAATAATCTGTGATTATGATTTATCTTGGATTTCGATCTGGAGATGCACCGACGTCAGTTAAATTATATGTCAGTTAAACATATTGATCGGAGAAAGGCCAGTCAGATCGAATGATATACGAGCGAAGCTTCGTGACTGATTGAGAAACTTTCCCCGGTAACTGGCACAACTTTCATATCAGACTTAGTGCGATTTTCTAGCCACTTCACTTTCCCTATCACTGACTGGGAAACGTTGAGTTGACAGATGACTGAACTGTCTGACCTGTCATACTTGAGACGCGCTCTGCACTTGGAGAAACGTAACTGCTCTTGAGTTCAGACCGTCACATATACAGTCTACTGAACTACACAGTGAGTGGGGATAACTCAGTTCTATCGATACGACCTTCGGGATGGACAGCTTGGGTTTGATTCCTGATGGACGCAGGGATATTTTTCTGCGCCATTGCGTCCATATCACTTCTGAGATCCGACTAAACTTTCTGTATATTGAGTACCGGGGGATTTATTCTTCATGGGGTAAAGTGGCCGGAGCGTGAAGCGGAGTTTCATTCAATACCGTGATTTAGATGACCTGAAGCTTTACCTTCACGTAGGGGAAATATTTCTAACTACAATCGTTCTATTTCTACTTCAGTGTCTTGTCCTCTGAAACATTGCGGAGTTAAAGTGTGGGGCATGGAGTTTCCCGACTGGGGATGAGTTTTTCTGTTTCTGACTACTTTGTCCAGAACAGGTCTGAGGCCCGCCGTGCTTCCTATTCCGTTCGGTATCGGCGACTCCTGCCCTGATGATAAAACGGTCGGTGCATGAGGCTGACAGGTCACTTCCATCCAGTGCCTAAGTTAAGAATGCGTGGAGCTATACTTCCAGTTCTCCTTTAATCTTCGTGACATGGTGATTAATTAAGGACGGGGATAAATCTTCCATACCTTACAGAGTTACAGCGCTTCAGAACAATACCAACGTAATGAAATTACAATCCAGAAAGAAATACGAAACATTCTGGTTTTGTTAGTGTCTCTCTTGTGTAATGAATCAGTCTGTTGCTTAGCCTGTCAGCCAGTTAACGAAACTATTATTCAGTCACATCAGTTTATGATCAACAGTTCATTTAATGTATGAATCTATAATTTATTCACTCTGTAAATCATTCAGTTAGTCACGTGACCCGGAATTAATTAGTCACCCCCCCAATATTAAGCATGCAGTAAATTAGGCCAGTAATATGATCAGTGATTAATTTAGTCCGGAGAAGTTCATGGAGGTAGGCCTAGGCCCACTGGGGCTGTAGTGCCAAGGAAAATAAAATAATTTAGTCAGTCAGCCAGAAACTTTTCAATCTTGACACCCAGAAAGTCATTCTTCCAGGCCAGCCACTTGAACATCATTAAATTTAGTCAATATTTTAGCCACCCATTTAACATGTCAGCCAGCCAGTCATTTATTCAGATCAGTCACCTGATCAG